GGAAAGTATTTTTTTATCATTTGTACGATTTGTACGACTTTCCGTATTCAAAATTTTTATACAGAATTTGAAAATATACTCCATTTCAAAATTAAAATACCGCCACATATTGACAAGTTTTAACAATTTTTTTTTTGTTATTAGATTTTAGTAATTTTTTTTTTATAAAATATAGTATATTCTTTAACGACAATATATTAAAAACAACTGAACAAACTTTCGTAAAAATTTCAAGCTTTGTATTTAGATCCCTTAGAAAGATTTGGATTATGTTAATTCTTGTGTAATAAAGCGCAAATTTGAAGTTGCTAAGGTTTACCTTTGATTTTAGGCACTTTTATTTTGCTGACAGTCTTGTGTATTTTCTTCCATTCAAAGTATGCTTGAACATCTTTTTATGTGCATATATGGAAGAATACGAGCAACATCTTGTACAAAAAAGTTGCCAAAATTCAACGGTCAGCCCTTGCAACTTCAAACTTGCACTTTATATATTTTTACAAAAAAAATTTAATTTAAGTTTTATTGGGCTTGAGGCCGTTATTAATGAAAACTTTTGTGGAAAAACAAAAATAATTTATAAATGGTAGAAGTTATAGCTGCTATTTCGGAGATCACCACACCTCCTCATCAGATTTCTTCACTGGGATTCGATCCAACGACCCCAGCTCACAAAATAGTACAGTATATAGTTGGTAGCAATGTGGAAATTAGTTTATTAATAATTTTAACTTATAAATACTATTTATGTTAGAATATATACAGACATGCATATACATATATGTGGGAGATTTTCCTAATAAACGTTATACCACTTTAGTCTTTAAAAATATTAATTTCCTGTAAATATTAAAAAACAAGTTATAGAAATATCCATAGAGCTCAAAACGCGAACTGTTACATTACATTTTAATTGTTATTTTGGTTTTTCGAAATAAAAAGCATGAATTCTGCAGATTTACCATTTGACGTGTAATGACAATAACAAAGATGACAATAACGCGTCGTAAAGCTAAAAAAAAAAATGAGAATTCTCTGTTACTAAACTACACATTTTTTTACTAGATAATTCAATTAGTAAAAAATACTGGTACGTTACAAGTATGCAGTTTTCGACTTAAAACACATGTTTAAAGAATAATAAAGGGGATCATTTCTTATTGAAAAAGAACGTAGTAGATTCCGCTTCAAAAAACTTGTAGATATTTCGGACTGTTGTTATATTACATTAAAATAAACTGTCGAATTTATTTTCAAATAGAAAGCTAATAACTTACTTACTTGATATTAAGTTTTTAGAATTAAAATGGTAATATTAGAAACCTTATTCTTAGTGGTCCCTTTATTTTTGCAAACAAAGTCTTAACTTAATTAATGTGAAGAAAAATTTCATTATACTAATGTGTACATTCTCCAATATAACCCGATGTAATAAAGCACTTCTAATAAGTAGAACTTGATTAATAGCTTTTGTGTAGTAAATTTTTTTCTTACTGCATTCGATTTTCATTAATAGCAATAAAATTGTATTGTATATACATACATACATAGACTAATAATAGCCGTGTTTTTTTACACACATACATATACATCTACGCTTAACGTGTAAAAAAACAATCATCGACAATTTCCATTTCAAAACAAGTAATTTTGATTTTATCGACAACTATTCATAAGCACTCATAAAGTTTGTCGCTTACAGCTCCATACAATTTTTAAGCCCAGATGCGTATGCGTGTAAAAGAAACACGCCTAATAGCTCGATTTTTTGGCACTGCCGTTTTCAGGATATATACAAATGTATGTATTTGAAAAATTGTGAGTAAATTGACTATGGTAAATCCATTGTAATCGGGCTGTAAGCTACCGTGCATACTTGACATACATTTGTACATATCGGAAATTACAAATAAATAAAAGTGAGTTTTAAAAAATTGCCTTCTTGTAAGTAAAAAAATAAATGTAACAATGTTGAAAGTATTCATAATAAACGAGAGTTTTCAAAATTGCATAGCGATAGGTTAAAGAATACATACAGTGAGTGTCAGTCAAAACAGTGCAGTCAATTTTTTTTCCATATTTTGAAAATATTTGGTTATATTTTAATTGTATTAATTTTTTATAAAAATATCGTTCCATAAAACTAGAAGTATCTAACTTTGTAACAATAAAAAATCGTCAAAATTCAAAATTTTGTATTCAGATTTTTTTTTGTGTATGCAGTTTTATGGTCATATTTTCATCAAAATTTCACACTTTTTATTCCACACTTTATAGCCCATTCAATTTTAATATAAAGTGCAAGTTTGAAGTCGCTACAAAATACCATTGATTTTTGGCAATTTTTTGTCGAGGGTTTTCTGCATTTTCTTCCATATATAAATAGACTTTGTTTATGCGTTATATGGAAGAAAATGCGCAACACCATCAACAAAAAAAAAAAAATCAACGGTATTTTGTAGCGACTTTAAACTTTCATGCCATATTAAAATTGAATGGCCTATTAAACTGCATACCCAAAAAAAATCGAAAAATTGTGAATAAAAAGTGTGAAATTTTGATGAACATTTTGCGATTTTTTTAGTTGTTACAAAGTTAGAAACTTTGAGTTTTATGGATTTTGTTGCAGTATGAACTATATTATTATTAAAAATTTGAAAATTTTAAATAAAACAAAATATTTTCAAAATAATGAAAAAAATTTACTGTACGATTTTGACAGTCACTCACTGTACACAGAGTTGGGCAAAATTTATTCGAATGACGGATAACAAATTAATAAATTGTTTTTCTCGTTATTCGTAAATAACAAATAACTTTGTTTATTCAAAGGAAAATTATTCGAATAATGGATAAATTATTTTATTCGAATAATTATTATTTTCATTTATTATTCCATCAACGAATAAAATAATAATAAAACAAGTAATCTATGTATATAGGTATGTACATATATTTATGTATAAAATGATAGCCGTTTTCGTTGTTCGGAATTAACTCAAAACCCTGGATAGATTTTACGGATAAAATTTTATTCGAATAATTATCTAAATAACAATTTATTCGAATAATGCCCAACTCTGACTGTACATATGCACATGCTGGCAAATAGAACCACTTCACACATAATATGTACATACATACATATACGCCTAGGTTATTGAAACCGTTTAATTGAACATTTTCTATAAATGTCAAATAAAGTATTTACATGCATATATTTGAATAGTTCCCGCACTAGAGCTGCAAAACTATCGACTAGTGACGCCATTCGATAGTTTGGAAAATACTATCGATATTTTCGATAGTATCGTATACTATCGTGTTGTATATGTAGGGAAACTTCAACTCCGAACAAAATATGTATAATATATACATCTTGTAAATATTGCACATATGTAAGTATAAATTTTTATATCTTATATTAATGAAAAAGAGCTTTTTGGAAAACACAATCGTCCACATTGAACATTTGAAGTTAACTTTGACGGTTGTTTGTTTACCAATAAAAATTCGAAAATAAATATTCTAAATCAAGTTTTTGGGTTTCAATTTGTTTTGTGCGAATGTCTGCTTCATGATATTAACGCATACGGATTACTTAGAGACTTCAAAATGTTTAGTTCGTATGCACTATTTATCTCTGCGTACGATGAGACCTCATGGGAAATAACTAATTACCGCCTTGGCCTCTTTTTTGGCGGCCAGACATGCATACAATTTTGATATTTTTTGATAATTTTTAATATTTATCATTTTTCAGAATATAAATTTTTTGAACGTTGGCTGGCGTGTCAAATGAAAGCTTTTGGGTCTTTCTGATTGGCCGGAGCGGAAAGCTTTCTGATACAACTCTTCTCTGCATTTAACATGTTTAGCTCGTCAACTTGAACGTAGTATTGAACGTCAAATTCTAAGTGTTTTTCTTAGTTAGTTAAATTCGCAGCGTCACTTATTTATGTAAAGATCACAAAAATTCAATACACCCGCTCTATCGAAACTATCGACTATCGCCCGAAAACAATCGATGTTTTTCCAAAAATAAAACTGTCGATACTATCGAAAGTACAACCGATAGTTTTTTACATTTTTATTTATTTATTTATTTCAGTCTTGGAATACAGAATATTCTTACAGACTACTCAGCTAACACTAATTAAGTGCTACTAAAACTTAAAAATTAAGATAAATTTTAAATACATTAAGTTCACAAGAGCTAAGATTAAATACATCGCTAGTGGTATAGCGCAGAGAAAAATGTTCGCAGATGAGTAACCAAGGCAGGGCCTGATTGTGAGAAATCAATGTCCAAAGCATTGAAGACTAGGTTAAGATCAGCACACGTTCTAGAGATCGGAGCGTTGGCACCATAACTGCTTCTAGAGAAACCTATTTTAAAGAAATCCCAATGGCGGAGGATTCTAGAGGGAATATTAAATGCAATCTTTTCTAGAAGAGAAGGGCAGTCAATTGAGCCAGTTATGATGTTAACGACAAACGTGCACGCTAAAATGGATCTTCTGTTATCCAGTGTTGTAAGGTTGATTAGTTGGCAGCGAGTTTTGCAGCTCTATCCCGCAGTGTAAAGACCATACTAGTGATATTTACCAATATTGTAGTCATGCATACATAAAAATGGAAACAATTATTGTTTGTGTTACTAAAAAGTATGTGAGTTAAAGAGTTTGAGTAGAAAAATGTTATATAATGATTTAGCAGTAATGTAGCGACGGAGAAAGTAACGTCATTTTTCTAGCTGATGTCAATATTGTCATCGTAGATTTGGTAAATGAATGAGTACCCTAGCAGCGGAGGAAAAACAAGTGGACCAATAAATCGGATACAAATAACGGAATCAAGTATATATATATACCACATACATTCATACAGATCTGTAAATGCAGTTTTGTTTTTAAAAACCCGCAAAGGGAATAAATAAAATCAGCCGGCTACGCAACTATCAGTGCAAGGATCCAACAACATAATCTGAAATCAACCATCCGAAAAAGAGGTCATAGGTACCAATCCAGCGTTGCAATTAAGGCGCAATAAAGTGCAATTGACATAAAAGATTATGTTATAGACCAATGCTGTCAGTGTACATAGTACATATGTATGCACATACATATGTGTAAAATAAACTTAAACTCTCATCGTTTGCGTAAATGATTATGCATATATACATACACAAACATACTTTTGTATGTTATTGTTGTTGCTGGATTTATTCATATTATTTATTTCAGAGAAAATACAGATATACACTAAGGCTTAAAATATTCACGCGACGTGCTTATGAAATAATGAGAACATACAACTTACCCCCCTATTCTAAGGGCCAATTTCACAGTGCGTAGTTAACTCAGAATCAGCAGTTAATTACAGATTTTTGTACTGAAAATCTGTAGTTAACTGCCGATTCTGAATTAACTGCGCACTGTGAAATTGGCCCTAACAATGTTACAAAACTCAGCGCACCACTATTGTGATTTCTGCTGTGCTTGAAAATCTGCCACAAAAAATAGATTTTAAGTGCTAATGAAGTGCACTAAAATTTTGAATTTTATTTTGTAGCGGCATGTTTGCTTTAGGGGCATACTTTGGGGCGCAGTATTTATCACAATAGTGATCCACTGAATTGTGTGGCCTTGTTAGAATAGGGGGGTAAGACAGACGAATGTCGCTAGTCGGAAAAGAAGTAAGACAAATTATAATAATCGGCACTAAATACACACACTTAAACATATTATGAAAACTATTTTATTAAGAACTCTTTATACTTAAGGCACGCGTTGAGATAAGGATATTAAGCTTAAAAGAATTTGCCGTTCGTAAGGCACACTACTTTAGCCAGGTCTAAATGCGATACCGCAAAGAATTTCAGATGTATATCTTTATAGATCGGACATCTGGGCTTGTCATGTGATTGGTATTCTCTTCAGCCCCTAAGTTGCAAACTGAACATGAAATGGGGTCGACTCTCTTAAAGGATATTGCTTGGAGGGTTAGGAAAATTAGATACCTGTGAGATGTAGATATGGATTTAAGTCATGTTTTGTAGAGTTTAGGACGCTTTCGTAAAACAACGCAAATTCATTATCAGCAGTTTTTTCTGGCAATAGCGGTATGTGTGACCTTAGAGAATCGGGGTAAACTCAGTCAACGGGTCGAGGCCAACATTACGAGACAGAACATTCCATACTTATGTATGTATGCATAGATGGACGGAAATCTAAGCAAATACATGTTTTTATTGGATACGCGAAAACGAAACTTAAAATTATCTCAATACCCTCTATCTGAAATTTTCACAAGAAATACTTTGTGATGTTAATTCTGACTTTGCAATGTAATAGTAAATTCTTCTGTCAAGCGTTATACAAGGTCAGCATTAATATCACCGATGACAGTTAAGCTTAGGTGGATTTTTATATCAGAATCCCATTTTTGTGAAGAATGCCGATAGAGGGTATTGAATATAAGCCCTCGATATCTTTGTCGTAAAGGCATTTCTGCATATTTCTTACGTAAAACTACCAACCGAGTACGGAGAGTGACTGCTGTTATCTTTTGTTTCCAATTGTCATGTTTCATACATGCTTAGGATGTCCTAAAACACTGTATCGAAGATTTCAAGTTTTGAAATTACACAAAAAACGCCGAAACTCGTGAACTTAAGGCCCGTCCAAATACAACTTTGGCGTTGCGTTGGCGCTGCCGCTGCCGCTGTCGCTGCTTTGAAAGCAGCGCAAGTAATGCCCGTTCTTACTACAATGAACGCTTAGCAGTGTATACTTTGGTCACTAAATTAACATACTACCGGCAAATAAATCAAAACTTTATATCAATAATTGCATTAAAAACTATATTTATTGCCCGAATTTGATTGAAAAGTAAAATTATTTCATATAATTTTGATTATTTTGAGCAGCTGACGAACGACGCACGTGAAAAGTTGAGAGTTGGCCATCTTTCTGTTTTGCATTTGCGTTGGCGTTGCCCAACTTTGGTTATGTAGAGCCTTTCATATAAATGCATGTATTCATAGTCAGCTGTCGAATATGAATGATCAATATATGAATATGAATCAATAGTTAAACTCTTATCAGTGGTTAACTACGCACTGTGAATTTGGCCCTAAGGGCCGGTTACTCAATGTCTGGTTAACACTAATCTCCGGATAAACATCTTATCGACGTTACGAACTCCATGTTTGTTCATGGAGCCCGAAACGTCGATAATTGATGTTTAAAAGGAGATTAGTGTTAACCAGACATTGAGTAACCGGCCCTAAGAGTCTTAAGTTACGACCGAACCCGGAAACTATTATTTTGAATTTTGAGAATATGAACAATTTACCTATGAAACAATACCATTAGATATAAATAACTATTATTAACAATGGTTTTTGCTTGATATCTTCAACTGTTCAACCATATTTTTTAGTTTTCTTATTTTTAATCGAGATGAAACAAGAGGTGGTTTATAAATTATAGGAATATTTTTGTTCGTTTATGCATGCTTGCACCTCGATAACTTAGGACTACGTGAATCGATTTTAATGATTATTTTTCAATCGGAAACAAAGGCTTCTCTCGTTAATGAATTGAAAATGATTTGGACTAAACGTTACAAACTGCTAGCAAAGAAATGCAGACTCAGACCCTACGTCAAGCTCACAAAGCTCTATTACAGAATATTTGCGTAAATCACCGCCTTTCCTGCAACCTTTGACTAAACCCTATAAAATCGGCAAATCTGTCTCACCTGGGAATAGGGTAGGGAAGTTGTGGTGTCATTACAACCAAAGTTGGTATGGTATGCTACTTACATAATGGTATGCCGTTAATATACAAACATATGTATGTATATATGCATGTCAGTTTAAGGATAACTTAAATTTCGATAAATTGCATACGATTATATTGACAATGTAATGTTATATAAAACCAACAAAATTTTGCTAGAAATAACTCTCATCTCTTAGGAAAAAATTATATTGTTAAATGCATCAAAAATGTTATCATTGTCAACTAAGTAGTACTTTAAGATGAAACCGGAAATATTATACAGAAGAGGTGTTTTAACAAATATAGTATACGTTAGTTTAATTTTAAGTCAAAATCATACATTCTAAAAATAAAAAAAATAGATATCGAACTAAAAACAATGCTTATAAACCAAACACAAGTGCAGCAATTCAACTTGAAGCTACAGAAACATTTAAAAATTCGTTTTTAGGGTGATATTCACCGGAATCTACACATTTGAATCAGCTGTTAAAGTGATGGCACGAGGTTTCATTTTATGCCCGTTTACGTATCTTAGAGATGCATGGAATTGGCTGGACTTCGTAGTAATAGCTTTAGCGTGAGTTTATAAAAAATAATATTTTAATATTTTTCAGTTTTGATTTCTAATCCATACAATTAATAGCTTTGCTTTTTCACTTTTTCGTAACTGTGATATATTTTTTGGTGACTTATAATTAAATACATTTGTATATGCATTACTTTAGTCTCGAAATTTTTGTGTAATTCAANTTATGTATATGTAAGTACGTACATTACACTCAGTCGGTTCGCATACGAAAGAAAATTTTTCCGACTTGGAAATTTATGTTCTAAAAATGAAGGCAAAATTTAATTTGCTTATGACTTAATTAAACCTATATATGTAGGTAATACAAACTTTTTTGTCGCGATCCAGCCTAATGTACATGCATACACCTAATAACAAAAAATTAGGTTCACTGATAGGAACGGTTCTTCTTTGGACATCAACTTTGACATCTTCATGAACACATAATAAGCCAATTTTCAAACACATAAACGACACGGTTACCCATTTTATTTACCTTTGTTTTCTTAATTGTGCTACAGACATTTCATTTGCGTGACATAAGTACATATAAGTATAAAGAAGAGCGTTTCAGCGTTTCAGAATTCGTCTTTTTTTTGTAAGTGGCATTCATCACTATAAGAAAACGCTCACAAGTATTAAATTCAATGAGTGTGCTTTAATTACAAATTAACTAACAAAATATTTATATTTCATTCCTTCCTCTGTGTTACATACCGTTCGCGCAATGTCCCTCTAAAGTTATGTGACTATGGGTATTGATTTAGGTAACCTCGCAGCATTGAGAACGTTTAGGGTACTGCGAGCACTTAAAACCGTAGCCATCGTGCCAGGTAAATAAAGATAATTACATTAATTTTCGATAGGCTTTAAATTTCCTCGGGAAATCTGAACGTATTATCCACCCTAAAATGTCCACTTTCTACCCATTTACTTTCAGGCTTAAAGACTATCGTCGGCGCTGTCATCGAATCAGTAAAAAATCTGCGTGATGTGATAATTTTGACAATGTTCTCGCTGTCAGTTTTCGCGCTGATGGGTCTACAAATTTACATGGGTGTTCTAACACAGAAGTGCATTAAAAAATTCCCCTTAGACGGCTCATGGGGAAATCTGACTGACGAAAACTGGGACTACCACAACCGAAACAGTTCAAATTGGTATTCAGAGGATGATGGATATTCCTTTCCGCTTTGCGGGAATATATCAGGTGCTGGGTGAGTTAAGGCCACAAATTATAAGAACAAGATAAACTGAGATGATTAAAACCAATACCAATTTGATTGAGTACATGTTATTGTTTTTTCTAACCTTTTCATCTGTTCATATATAGGCAATGTAGTGATGAGTACGTTTGTCTACAGGGCTTTGGTCCTAATCCAAATTACGGATACACCAGTTTCGATTCATTCGGTTGGGCTTTCCTCTCGGCGTTCCGTCTAATGACACAGGACTTTTGGGAAGATTTGTACCAGCTCGTTCTTAGAGCGGCTGGTCCCTGGCACATGCTGTTCTTTATAGTCATCATCTTCCTAGGTTCATTCTATCTTGTGAATTTGATTTTGGCCATTGTTGCCATGTCTTATGACGAATTACAAAAGAAGGCCGAAGAAGAAGAGGCTGCCGAAGAGGAGGCGATTCGCGTAAGTAGTACTTTGCATGCGAGAAAATATTTTCAATTTTAATTTGGCACCGAGCAGCCAGGCTCGAGCAGGCCGATTAGGGTGGAAATATTTACTCAACCCAATGAATGTCTTTATTATAACCACTGTTGATGTTTAGTGTATGTATGTATTTATGTGCAATTGCTTTAATTTTGTTTAATTAACGATATACATATATTTTACCTACTATCGAACTAATAAATAAATGTAAAGAATTCATAGTGAAGTAAACCTTAACGAAGACACTGGAATCGCAGCGTGACCAATATTTAATTTATAAATTCATACGTGCGTATGAAACAACTCGTTGTAACGGCGATACTAACCTATTTTATTCAATTTTAACATTTAACTTGCGTCTTAGTTTATTATTTTTCATGCCATTTTGCCTAAAATAATACAATGCATGTAACGTACGGTCCGAAAACAGATGAATGAAATGAAGACTGAGCGATGCCAACCTGACCTAATACAGCAAAGACTTTGAACCTCAAAGGCGCAGTTATGCACACTTAGCATTGCACTGCATAAAAGTCATCGGATGTGAAGCATAGTGATGATTATACATACATAATATGTACTCCACGTACAGCACGTACAACAATTACAAACATTTTTCTGGTCATATTTATCCCTCTCTTTGCGCTCACAATCAATCGAATTCCACATTTACGTACAAATCAATAATCAAGAGACATACATATATGACATGCCGTGCGTTGGTTAATCGCTTACACGTATATCACATTCAACGGTTTCCTCAAGTGACAACTCTAACGTCTCACCATGCAATGTTAAGTATGCATAACTGAGCCTTTAATCGGACCGAAAAAAACTGTTGTCATCCTTTATATGGTTACACGATTTTTCAAGGTTTCTTTAGCTTCGTCAAATGGACAATTTTTGATCGCTTTGGTGGCTTTGATTTTTATTTGTGTAGTACGCAAATTGACGAGTTCGAATGCTTTTTAGGTTTGAACCCCTCAACCACAATTAATATGTTCTTGTAGGAAGCGGAAGAGGCAGCGGCAGCAAAAGCTGCTAAATTGGAAGAGCGAGCAAATGCAGCAGCTCAGGCGGCAGCAGATGCAGCTGAAGCGGCTGAAGCAGCCTTGCATCCAGAGTTGGCGAAAAGCCCGACTTATTCGTGCATTAGCTATGAGCTCTTTGTCGGTGCCGAAAAGGGAAACGATGACAACAATAAGGAGAAAATGTCGATACGCAGCGTTGAAGTTGTATCGGAGTCGGTGAGCGTTATTCAAAGACAACCAGCACCTACTACAGCACCCGCTACTAAAGTCAGAAAAGTGAGCACGGTAAGTATAACGCAGCTGGCTGGTGTGCTTTGAATTTGCTTTTGTTATAATGTGTTCTGTCTGGCAATATTTTGACACTTAAATAATTAATTTCATTTTATTTACGGCGTAAATTCTTATATATTTTTTTTTTTTATATTTTCAAGATTTCTCAATTTGTTTAAATAGATTTACATATGCATTACATTGAAATTCATATACTTTACATTTCATTAGCTGCATTTTTTTGTAAGCGAGCGACAAAAGAACGCTCAACTCGGGTAAAATTTCCATTTATTTAGCTACTTAAGCCACCCTGCTGGTAGTTGGCGAGATACATGTGATTGGTTCAACGGGATTTGGACACAAAAAACAATAGAAATTAGTAATTACACTGCGGAACAAATTCAGGTTAGGAAAAGTTAGGTCGATTCTAAGAGTGAGGCTAAATTGGAAGACCCGTATTGCGGCGTTTTTTTATTTTAGTTCGAATTTTTTTAATCGACCTTCGAACTTTGCAGTCAAATGCCGATTTTCAGCATATTGGTTATATTATATATTTTCCACAAAACTAAGTCTTTGTTGTTTTCTATTTGATCTATAATATGCTTCTCAGTTTCTTCAATAAATTTCATTTGAAAAGAAAACAATCATAATACAAAACTTGCGTTTTCCAGCTTAATATTAATTTACTTCTCAGCTGTGGATCAACATCACTGCTCTCTCTAATATCTTGGTCATCGTCATCATCATCAGAAAGGTCGATAATTTCGTCCAACAGATATTCTGGAATTTCATCTTTGTCTTCCCCTTCTTCCTCTTTTTCCTCGTCTTCCTCTTCTTCAAAGGTGTTTTTATACCACCAACAAATTTCAGCGAGTATTGCATCTGGAGATTTCTTTCCTCTGTACCTGAAACGAAAATAGTTTTAAATCGTTAACATGTTTAAATTGTGCACTCTGACAAAGATATTAGAAAAATCTAGGAATTCAAAATATGCACACTCTATAGTTACCTTATTTCAAATGGAAGCGCAGTTTGGTGATAACTTTCGCCTTGCTCATCAGATTCAGTTGGCAACTGTTGAGCGAGTTGATCAAGATGCTGATGCAAGAGATGAATTTTGTACGACATATTAACCCCAATTTCAAAATTTGTACATTAGAAATGAGAAGTAAATTAATATTAAGCTGGAAAACGCAAGTTTTGTATTATGATTGTTTTCTTTTCAAATGAAATTTATTGAAGAAACTGAGAAGCATATTATAGATCAAACAGAAAGCAAAAAAGACTTAGGCACTCGGCACATTACGCGCCTAATCAAAGTAGAGTAATCGTTTCGTCATAACGGAACGAATGCATGACGACTCGACTTCTGTATACTTGCACGCCGTGCATAAGTCACCAGCTAATAAACACTTTCTACACATAACAAATTTTCTGGTCGTTCTTTCGCAACTACGCACTTCCGCAAATATTTCTGCTCCGAAATATTGCATAAACGCTTGTGGTTTAATACAACTTGCACGAATTTTAGCACGCAATCATTCATTTTCAATTATTTTCTAATAAATTTTATTTCCAACACAAAAAGTAAACAAATGATGATTTCAAAACTGAAAGCGCCTTACAATGTTGGGCGCTTCGATTCATGAATCTTTTTTAAGATTAGGCGAAAACAAGATTTTGAATCGTAATGTACAGAGCTTCATTGAAATACATGTGTTCGGCATAAAAGCTTTATACTCTAGTATGCTAAAACGATTGCACTACTATGATTAGGATCTTAATGTGCGGAGTGCCTTAGTTTTGTGGAAAATATGTTCAAAAAGCATGAAAAAAAAATTCCAACATTTTGCTTCATAAGCACTATAAAAATTTTCTAAATCAATTTTTTTTTTTAAATTTCAATTGTTGCACTGGTCTCTAGCAATAATTTGGCCTTAACAGATTGAAAAAATATCAATTAATCGCCAAGTTATAGCCAAAAAACCATATAAACAATATGCTGAAAATCGGCATTTGACTGCATAGTTCGAAGGTCGATAAAAAAAAAGTTCGAACAAACATAAACAAACGCCGCGATACGGGTCTTCTAATTTAGCCTCTATTTTCACCCCTCACTCTCAGAATCGACCTAACTTTTGCTAACCTGAATTTGTTCCACAGTGTTATGCGAGGTATTTGCGTAATATATATACTTATTTAAAATGTAAGTAATGTATATACGAAAACAAAAAAATTCCCTTTCCACTTTCCCGTTAACAATTCGCAATAGAGCAGTTTTTTCACATAACAACACTACTCTTCAGGCCGCGTAGTTTTTAACATACCTGGCTGAACTCGGATAAATAGCCGAGTTTGTGTTGTTGCTTTGCGTGTATTTCGTCATTTAAGCGAGTGTTCTTTTGTAGCTCGGTTGCAAAAGAATGGACCTATTATTAAATTGCATTTCAATGTTACTTGGTTNTTACGATTAGGCGAAAACAAGATTTTGAATCGTAATGTACAGAGCTTCATTGAAATACATGTGTTCGGCATAAAAGCTTTATACTCTAGTATGCTAAAACGATTGCACTACTATGATTAGGATCTTAATGTGCGGAGTGCCTTAGTTTTGTGGAAAATATGTTCAAAAAGCATGAAAAAAAAATTCCAACATTTTGCTTCATAAGCACTATAAAAATTTTCTAAATCAATTTTTTTTTTTAAATTTCAATTGTTGCACTGGTCTCTAGCAATAATTTGGCCTTAACAGATTGAAAAAATATCAATTAATCGCCAAGTTATAGCCAAAAAACCATATAAACAATATGCTGAAAATCGGCATTTGACTGCATAGTTCGAAGGTCGATAAAAAAAAAGTTCGAACAAACATAAACAAACGCCGCGATACGGGTCTTCTAATTTAGCCTCTATTTTCACCCCTCACTCTCAGAATCGACCTAACTTTTGCTAACCTGAATTTGTTCCACAGTGTTATTCGAGGTATTTGCGTAATATATATACTTATTTAAAATATAAGTAATGTATATACGAAAACAAAAAAATTCCCTTTCCACTTTCCCGTTAACAATTCGCAATAGAGCAGTTTTTTCACATAACAACACTACTCTTCAGGCCGCGTAGTTTTTAACATACCTGGCTGAACTCGGATAAATAGCCGAGTTTGTGTTGTTGCTTTGCGTGCATTTCGTCATTTAAGCGAGTGTTCTTTTGTAGCTCGGTTGCAAAAGAATGGACCTATTATTAAATTGCATTTCAATGTTACTTGGTTCCTTGTTCAGTTGAGACATATACATAGTATTTATACCGTGGGACAATAAATTTTACACACACAAAAATCAATATAATCGCGAAACCATGGGCCGAATATAGTAAAACTGCGTTTTTAGTTTTTCTAAATGACGCCAGAATTTTTTTAAAAGGACTTTGAAATTTGAAAAAAAAAATGACTACTTCACAAATTATTAAAAAAATTGGTATCAAATTAAAGAGAAAATCCTGTAGAATTGAAGCTGATTAAACTTTTTCGTTTATTATTGAATGCTCCTGAATTCGCAACTTTTTGTAATCGATAAGCCATCCCTTGAAGGTATGCAACAATTATCACAAAAAAAAAAAAAATCAAGTTGCTAATGAAGAAAATCGATGGGTAAATACGAAGTAATAAGAGTCAAATGAAAATGCGCAAATATTTTTTGTATGAAATATGAGTAGGAAAGCGTGTTACTTAGGTGTACGCGGCGTATAAGTAACATTCTGTCGTGCTCAATTTTCATACAAAAAATCTTGCGCATTATTAATTGACTACTCATTATTTCGTATTTATCCATCGATTTTCTTCATCAGTAACTTGATTTTTTTTTTGTAGCACAACAGGCTTTAGTAAAAATGCAAAAATTTGGCACAGAACCTGTTATTTTTTAAATTTTTCTTCTGTTAAAGTTTGATTTTTTTTTTAATTTTTTCATTAAAAAATAAAAAAGCTGAAATCATTAACTAATTTGTCAGAAACTATAAGGCCTATCAGAAAGTGATGTATATACGGTTAATGGCGAATTTCATTGGCTTTCATTTGCCGTATTTTAAAAGGAACCAATTTTTGCTTTAAGCTGAATAACGGTAAATTGCAAATATCTGAAAAGGTATCCATAAAAAAAAATCAACTCAATTTTCGGGATTACCGAGCAATTCTACATAGGCATTGGATAGTGGCATCCATAGAACATTTTTGCTGTAAGCCAGTGTAATTTATATATATATTTTTTTATTATATTCGTTTTATTTTTTATTTTTGTATTGGTATAATAATTTATTATAATTAATTTAATTAATTAATTAAAATAAAATTATTTAATTAATTTTAATTTATTTAATTTATTATATTAATTTAATTTTTTTATTATTATTTTATTTAATTATTTTATATTAATTAAGTTTGGAAAAGTGGGCTTTGCAACTGTTTACTCTAACCAACTAACCATTTTTATTTAATTTCTAATTGCTTCTTTTTTGTAAGCAAATTTTTGTTTGAACAGTCTGCAGCAGTTTGTTTAAATTCATTTATAACGGGAACATACCTCTTTGTCAAAGGCCTACAAAACGCTTCGAATAATAAATTTGCTTATTTGAAACTTCGAGGCGATTAATAGGCGGCGTACACGGTGCGTCTGACTCGCGAGTCATTTGTGTACGTGTTGACTCGCCTTCGACTACACACAGTTGAATCATTCATTCAGAGTCATGACGGGAGTCATGTTGGTGTAACTAATACATATTTATTTTCACAAACACATCCAAACCGACTCACGAGTCAGACGCACTCTGCCGCCTATAAAGCAAGTGAAGCAAAGCTGCCATTTAGCCAGCCTTCATACGTTTTAGTACATATATTTCAAATAATATTTGATAGTTAGCAAAGCGAAGTAAGCAAGGCCATCCTGCATTTGGCCAATACCTTAATTTTGAAAAAATTCTATGTCGAGGACTAATATACTCCCGACCACATCCTCGAATTTCGTCTTTCTAACTTTATTATCTTAAAAAATTCAAATTACTTGAAAGGGCAATTTCAAAACCTAGTCGTCCTTGTGAACGAAAAACTGATAATTTTTTTTAATGCTACAGAATTTTCGCTTTATTTTGGTATGGGTACCAATTGTTATTCTACATATCTTTAAAACATCACAAAGTCCTTAAAAAATCCTGACGTCAGAGAAAAAAGCAAAATCGCAGTTTCACTATACTTCCCACAATTTCGTAAGTATATTGATTGTATCGTGTATTTAAAATTTCTTTGTTTTTGCCGCACGGTGATAGTGTATCTTTTTACCGAGTTCATATGTTGCAACATTTTTTGTTCAGAATTTGCATCGGAATCACTCATGATATTAAATAAGTTCGTTAATATGTGCATGATTTGGAATGCTTGATGTTTTGAAATTCAATATACAATACAAAACGGGTAAATTAGCGGAATGGCGTCTTAAATCTGCGTCTGCAAAAATGACAAATGTTTGATTATAATAAATGTTAAGTATGTATGTATGTATATTTAAAAGTACATTAGGGAAATTTGCTCTTATGTGTTTACGTCCCAATTTGCCACAGAGCGGGGACGAGTTCGAATCGAAGTCGTTACAACGACGCGTCGGTCTGGTGAACTCGACACGACGTCAAATAGAATTCAGTTGTTCCATACAAAATGTATACTCTATTACACTAAAATTTAATGAGCTATAAACTGCTTTATATATATTTTTTTTAATTCAGACTGAAATGTTTAAAATTCTTAGGAATGCTTGCTGATTTGTNAAAGCTGCTTTATATATATTTTTTTAATTCAGACTGAAATGTTTAAAATTTTTAGGAATGCTTGCTGATTTGTTTTTTTTTTAATTACACACAATTCGAAATTGGATTTATATGGTTTTTGTTAAAGATTTTGAGGATTGTTTTCAGTTCGCTAGTATATCGTTTTTTTTCGGTTTGCCGGCGAATCGTTTTTGCGACCCGCCGGCGAACTGTGCCTTTCATCAGACGGCGAGTTCGCCGCCGAAGAAATTGTTCACCAGAACGAGTCGGAAACGACGTCGCAAAATAAAAAAAAATGTTACGCAGAAAAATTTGCCCTTATCCTGAATGTGGAAAAGCAATGCCTTGAAACTGAGTCCGTGTCGTATAGAAAAAAGAATTGAGGAAATCATCCGGACGGTAAGGCCCTCTACATTCTAGAGAAGGCCGTCTGCAATTGCTGTTTTCTCCCTTTTTTTATTGGGTAGGTTTGCCATTTCCTGCCCTTGGATGTTGATCGGACCAGAAATTGAACATGGACCCCAATATGACGAAACCGATAGTTTCAAATTTCAAATGGTTCCTAATTTGTTAAAAATGTTCTTTGAGCTTTAATAAAACTAGTCTTTTTCCGAAGTTTTATTCTAGAGTTCGTCGTTTAAACCACAAGATTTAGAAAATGCAACAATGTTCAAAATATACATACATATGTGATCAGGTAGCATGAATTTGATGGATGAAATATCATAATTTTATTAAAAGTCAAATGGTTAACAACAACAACAAATGTCATTAAATGGAACTCCCATCTTTTTTGTATCATGGTATACAAATGTATATTTTATGTATATTTTCATTTTCATTTTATTTCATTTAAAGAAATTTTAATTTATAACTTCCAAATAACGACAAAAAGAGAAAAAATACAATAATTACCATCTTGCGACACCATTATTGGGTAAAGATAAATAAATGAATGTTTCTATGGTAATAATTTTTAATGGGCTGGATTTGGAATGCATGAAATGCATGTTGCTGTTAGATTTACATATCGCTTAGGGCTGTACGAAAGCCTTAAAAAAACAAATACAAAAAAAAGCTACCTCAAAGTTTTTAGTATGTAAGTTTTCCGTGTTGATAAAGAATAAATAATAACTAAAAAATTACAACAAGCAAATCTTAAAAAGCTTGTGTGCATCAAGCCTTCAATCAAAAGGCGGATTTCGTTTTAATTTATCAAAAGTATATTTACCGCAGAAACATTTGCAATTTTTTAGTTTTATAACAACGTAATATACATATATGTATATGGATACGTTTGTTGCCATGCAGTCAAAATGTATACATATGTAGATGCTTTGCGGATGCAAATTTTCAGAGATTACCTATTTTTCAAGAGTCGCAAAAAATTTACGTGGCTATAAAATATGTTTTTTGAAATCCATTTAAGATCATCAAGATGACTTAAATTTAATCGACGGATTTTTAAGTTTTTCTTGTTTGCCCAATCTTTGTTGCATTTACATATTTATAATTATGAATTTTTTAACAATTTAACACAACCTATCCTTAAGCATATTTATTTCAATCGATGGTATACGCAAGCTTGCACTGCAGGATAGCAGTTACCAAACAAAGTAGCACTTCGGTAAAACGCTTTTTTGAGTCAAACCAGCCTAACTTTTTAAGCTCATTAGATTGAGCTTGATTAACACCCACCTACGAATTTTTCTTGCATCACTCTTCTTAATAAATTGCAAACAAGCGTATGCTTTAATTAGCCTAACATGATTTTTTATCATAATTTTTTATCTACAAAATTAGATATTTTGCATAGAATTTTTGCATTGGCCATGGCTGTTATATTAATTTATTAATTGGTAATAGGAGGTATTCCTTCTTACAAAAATTAGCATCGGTATGAATCAAAATATTATTAAAATTGATTTAACTTTTCGATTATAATACCTCCAATAGCTCTGAAATGGCAGAGGTACTGGAAATATGAATAAATACTAGAAATTCTAGAAAAAAGTTAAATTAATTTCGGTCCATCATTTTTCAAGGTAGGTGTTATTTTTATTGTCTAAACAATATCCATATTGTGAAACATTTTCACTACAGTCGTTGCCTCATTTTACACACATCCATGCGACTCTAAAGCAAACAAAAAAAAAACAATACAATACAATATACATATTTCAGTAGGGAATAAAATAAAAGTTTTACTTACGACCCGATCTTTATAGATTTAAATGTAACTTTGTTTTTATTATTACCTTCTCTGTTTGTGTTTGTAGATTTGCTTTCNTTTCAAGGTAGGTGTTATTTTTATTGTCTAAACAATATCCATATTGTGAATCATTTTCACTACAGTCGTTGCCTCATTTTACACACATCCATGTGACTCTAAAGCAAAAAAAAAAAAAAAAATACAATACAATATACATATTTCAGTAGGGAATAAAATAAAAGTTTTACTTACGACCCGATCTTTATAGATTTAAATGTAACTTTATTTTTATTATTACCTTCTCTGTTTGTGTTTGTAGATTTGCTTTTAATTGTTGTTCGCGGCTTCATGAACATTTAGTTTCATAGCTAATTGTTTCCTCCAGCTATGTATTAACCTGTCTTGGTAAATTTATGCTCCATGGGTTAAGAGTTTAATAATTTAATATAAATATTAAAAATATGTAAAAAAAAATCCAATCGAATCGTAAAATTGTAGATCAAAATAAATTTAAAGTGGTTTTCAAATTCTATTTTCATATGTATTTCGCTTTCGAGTCGTTTTGTACATATTTATCTTTGTACCGTTTTTGCTTCTTATGGGTGCGTTCTGGGAACGGGAAGCCAACATTCATAAGTCATTTTACTGTGGTTTGATTTGTGTAACTAACACCCAGTTTGTATTACAAGTCGATTACAATTTTCATATCAATGTGCGTGCAATTTGGGCTAGAAAAGTTCAAACATGATGAAGTTAAACATACATACGTATAACACATTACATNTTCTGGGAACGGGAAGCCAACATTCATAAGTCATTTTACTGTGGTTTGATTTGTGTAACTAACACCCAGTTTGTATTACAAGTCTATTACAATTTTCATATCAATGTGCGTGCAATTTGGGCTAGAAAAGTTCAAACATGATGAAGTTAAACATACATACGTATAACACATTACATACATACATATGTAGTTCGCTCATACATTCTTCATAAAAACAAAGCGCACTTTTACAAACATGAAGCAAAAAACCATCCACGAATAAAAATAAGGAATTTATATCAAAGATATTTTGGCCATGGATTTTTTATTTACATATTCTTTTCTATTTCTTCTTCTATGTACTTTTATTTTTTAAAAAAACATAGACATCCTTATCCTTACCTGGTTCACCGTTTAACATACGCAGGGGATCACGTAGTTCACATAAGGTAAGCGCTATTAACCAACAGAGGGCAACAGCCCCATTAATAATTCACCATGGCAGACATTGGGATTACTACAACAAATGCACTTCTTCATCCCAGCAAAACATTTTTGATGCATAGAATTCATATCTATGCCTTACATATATGATTACATACAAACGCATATACATATATACATACGTACATAGTGTCATCCATGGTACACATTACCAATGTATGTAGCTTTGGCGCATCCTCAGTATTGGTATTATTAAATACCAAGTAAAAATGTATTTCTATACCATCAATTCAAGTAATTACCACCACAAAATAAGTTGAACAGGCATATGCATTTTTGNTTGGGATTACTACAACAAATGCACTTCTTCATCCCAGCAAAACATTTTTGATGCATAGATCATTCATATCTATGCCTTATATGATTACATACAAACGCATATACATATATACATACGTACATAGTGTCATCCATGGTACACATTACCAATGTATGTAGCTTTGGCGCATCCTCAGTATTGGTATTATTAAATACCAAGTAAAAATGTATTTCTATACCATCAATTCAAGTAATTACCACCACACAAAATAAGTTGAACAGGCATATGCATTTTGTTTATCATGTTATACCAGTTAAACTCATATGTGTTTATCTCAAAAACATACATACATACATACATACTTATATATTGTTTACATATGTATGTAAATCTTTGTGTCGTTTTCATGTTTTATATAGATACATATATAGGGTATTCACAACGGTGTCGTAAGTGTCATATTGTTGTATGTCGTAAAGTTTAAAAGCTTAAATAAATTTTGAGAGGACTGAAACCACAACCAACTTTTTTGCAGCACTGTTAAAATTCATAATATGACTTTTGAGGGCCCTTGTAAACCCTCTTGATATATTTTTAGCCGGNTATTGTTGTATGTCGTAAAGTTTAAAAGCTTAAATAAATTTTGAGAGGACCGAAACCACAACCAACTTTTTTTGTAGCACTGTTAAAATTCATAATATGACTTTTGAGGGCCCTTGTAAACCCTCTTGATATATTTTTAGCCGATTAAAGTTTACGACAAACAACAATAAGACACTTACGATACCGTTGTGAATACCTCAATAGTTTTAAAGCCATCCATCTTTCATGCTATGTATTTCTACACAGAATTAGTAGGCTTAATATAGTTTTTACTATTGTGAAAAATTTTTTCTTGTACTTTATATTTTAAGCTTAATCAAGATTAATTTTATTTATTTTAAAAATTATTTCCTGAATTTTTGAAACACATACTTGTAGTATAATTTGCGTATATCATTTTCCATTCACCTCTTTTAATAGTTATTTTGTACAATTTTGATATCAAAAGTCTAAATCGCTAGCTTGAAGTGAAAATTTGCTAAGTACATTTTTTTTTTAATTATACAGGAGAAAATTAAAACATTACAAACTCATTTTCTTCGGTCACTTATTTTGCAAAAATTTTAATAAAAAAAATCGCACATTCAAACCTGAAAAAAAAACTCTTTGTATTCTTTGGGAATTATCATATTTTTTTGTGATTATTTTGGATTTAGAAAATTTGCGTATCACCGAATAGAAACGGTTTAATCTTTTAGGAAACGATGCATTTTTATTCTTTTTTACCAAAACATACCAATTAAAAAAAAAGAATTAGCAACGTTTCACTTTAAGCTAGCGAAATACCCTGAGTATATATGTACATATGTATGTACGACACACATATACATATGTAACTATTAAGCTTAATTCAAAGATATGTATTTTCTGCTAACTCAATATCAATACTCTCATCTTTTATTGTGTAGTACACAATTCGAAATGGACGTGGTCGTTTCGGTATTCCAGGTAGCGATCGCAAACCGCTCGTATTGTCAACATATCAGGATGCACAGCAGCATTTACCATATGCTGATGACTCAAACGCAGTTACGCCGATGTCCGAAGAAAATGGTGCTATAATCGTGCCGGTGTACTATGGCAATTTAGGTTTGTGCTATTTGACATAATTCTGTGATAACAAGCAATAATAGCCTAAGTAGAAAGTTACCATAACTCTAAATAAACAGAAATATAAAAATAGTTCATTCTGAGAAAAAATATGTTTTTTTTTTTATGTAGAGTAAAATAAAAATCCCTCTAATATTTCACTTTGTTCCTTATAGCAAAACTTTATTCAGACAAGTTAAATGTTGATTAAATTTACTGCNATTTAGGTTTGTGCTATTTGACATAATTCTGTGATAACAAGCAATAATAGTCTAAGTAGAAAGTTACCATAACTCTAAATAAACAGAAATATAAAAATAGGAAGATTATATCTGTTTAGTTCATTCTGAGAAAAAATATGTTTTTTTTTTATGTAGAGTAAAGTAAAAATCCATCTAATATTTCACTTTGTTCCTTATAGCAAAACTTTATTCAGACAAGTTAAATGTTGATTAAATTTACTGANTGTACAGCTGTACCAAGAATATTATCATATTATGTATTTGACGAATTTATCTCAGTGTGTGTATGTGAGCTTCTTGCAAAACGGCACTTTTATTTAAGTATTTACAACATTGACTCATAGAAACTTTCAAATTGTCTTACAACGTTTTCTTTTCTCGAAATAATGTTGCATTTATTCTTAGCATCTTCACATATTATTTCGTGTTCTTTCTTTAAAATGTTGCACTCTGATAATGTTGCCATATAAGAAAGTGTCATTTTTTTCGAGAAAAGAAAACGCCATTAATTATTCTACAGGCCAACCAAACAAGTAACAATGCATGTAAGCATACATACATATAAGTATGTACAAACAACTATTACCAGATGTCTGTTCCATAGGACATTATCATTTTCTGCCAATCACATTTTGTATGTTTTTTGCTTGAATATGTCAAGGAAGCGTCAAACCAAAACTATTGCTAATTTTGCATTTATGTATGTAAATACTTGTCGCGACTATGCTGCAACGTTGTCATAAATAAAAATCCAAAAACCAAAAAATTATTTAGATTTAATCATCGCGAGTTTGGTTGTACCTCATTGAGTTCGTTCTTTACACCACTCGCTAACTGATGGCGAATCGATGATGGCTTATATTTATTATACCCAAACGTGTAGTGTAAAGAACTTGAAGTTAGTTGCCTATGCAAGCAAACGCACGAAAGTTGAAAAAATTCAACTCTGCGCATTCGAATTCACGTTCGATTTTTTTTTTTTTCGTTCTTCACATGGAGTTTATCCGATAAGAATATGTGTAACTGCCACTCACCAGCCAAACGCATACATATGTACGTATACCCATGCCTATGGAGTTCCAGCTTATGAATTCGAATAAATAGCGATATCGTCGGCGATGATTTTCATAGAAATGTATCGAATTACTGACTTCCGCGATATCAAAAGCTGGCAGAGATTTTCGTACATTTCATATACTTATACGTATGTATTTGCATGTAAATATGTATACAAATCGAATATAACTACCGACAAAAAGACGAAAACTCAGTTGTCATAAATGACAGGCTTGCAGCTAAGGAGCCATTTGTATATACATACTTTCATATGAAAAGAGGTTGATGGTATTCATCTAAACCGATAACTTTATCAAGCAGATATTCTTATAAATTTAAGCACTCTGTTACATGAACGCCCCATACTCTCCTTTTGTTTACACTTGCGACCAGAGTCGTGTTTTCTTTGGTTATCGAGCTCAGTACCAGTAAATTTATACAACTAACACGAGGATTAAGAAATTTTAGAAATGACCTAACTAAATGGGAACAAATTATATTTGGACGAGATAATATTAATTTAAATAAATATTTAACATAAAGGCGATTTATTTGGAGCAAGTTAAAAGAAACAATAGCAGAAGGGTTGTTTGTGTATGAATTCATTTGCCACTGCTACCAAACTGTGCTGCCAAATTATCAGTGAGACAAAACAAACAGAACGGATAATGAATTAAACCAGATCTGTATCAGGATCATATCGTTGTTGTTGAATTTGCGAGCAAAATTTTTATGCGGATCCCGATTATTGCCCAAGAAGACACAGCTACAGTCGCGACAGAGTTGCATTGGCTTCAGTTTATGAAGTTTATTCAGTGAAATCGCTGGATAAATTTATCGCGAAATGTGTAAACGAGTTTTCATTCAAATTTTGACGGTTAATTTATAAGGTTTACACAATATATAAGGTTTGATGAACACCCTCATTGACATCTGTTCAGTCATTTGCATTTAATTATTAATTGTATGTGTTATTAATTTAACCAATTTTTATTAATATTCTACAATATAAGCCTTCTACCAACTACATGACTTCTTTGACTCGTCCATTTTACCTACTACGGTAATGCTGTCAGCAATATTAACATTTTTAATAAATCACTTGCAATTTACGTTTTTTCCAATGAAACGGTGTCTTCACAATCACTGGTATTTTTTTAATGCCAAACTTCGATTTTGAGAGCGGCTGCAACTTACAACTGATACTTTACACGTTGACTTCTTTATGCGGCCGTTTTAAAGTAGTTATTTTTATTGTTTCATTAGTATGCATTATGTAATAAACATTTGTTATATTTACATTAAATATAAATGTTTTTGATAAAAGCGGTCTCATTACGAAAAGGTGCAGACCCTAACAAGTAATTTCTATGTAGTTTAGATTTGATTTATGTAGTTTTGTCCATTGGTTATGGATTATTTGCATGCTTTTTAAAATAAAATTTATTGATACCTTGTTGTCAAAACGTATACATATTTATTTAAATTTCGCTACGAATATTGCTTACTCGGCATGATTTTTTAATTTCTTTGATGCTTCAATATACGAGGAATACTTTAAATATAATAAAAGTTTATTAAAAACACTCACAAATAATTTTTCACATTTACAGTTTTTTTCTGCACATACATATGCAGTTCAATTGCCTGCAGAAGTTTGCTTTTTGCTTAAGGGCCTGTTTTAATTTGATCATCACAACATAGGATAGAATTCTTTTCATATACGCTTTGAGTTGTCTCATAAATAATTACTACACATATTTTTATGGAATCATTCGATAGTCATAATCGTTAGCTTTTCTATTAACTAATGTAGTTGTGGCCAAACAATAATTACTCAAATGTTGTAAATAGGGACTAAGATTATGTCTAGTTTGAAAAAGGACCATTCATATGAACCGAGTCATTGGGCCTCATACGTAAAATGTGACTAAATTTTTGCAACGAAGAAGTGAGCTCCAGCTCAAGTATCTGTACTGAAATCCGAGTCGGAGCTTAAGCTCTCTTTTGATGCACAAGGCCCAGTATTTTCATGTGCTTATATGGTCATACCAACTGGCATTTTTGACTAAAACTGCTAAATTAGGATTCCCTAATCATCTGACAATAGTAAAAAAATAATAATAATAATAATAATAATACTACGTAATACATAATCACCTCTTTGGTAGAAATTTTTATACATAAATATGTATGTACATACCAAGACCGATAAAATATTCGTTTCACCAAGTGTACATACATTATACAAGTTCTTAATAATCTGACAAAAGTAATAGGTAAAAATTCTTAAACAACAAAAGTAGGACACAAAACCACATTTTAAACCACAGAAGTATTAATATACATAGTATATCATAATTGGAAAATAGACTTACCATCATTGAAAAGCAAACGTGGACAAGCTTAAGATATACATATGTACATGTATGTATACTATATATGTATATAAATATATAAGCACATAGATAAATTGAATAGCTTCTTATTGGCCACATTTTTGTTTTAATCGTACCACTACATAAATCGTAGACTAAACATTTACGTAAATACATACGGTTTGTAGTTGCACATTTGCAAATACATAAATTTTTATTGAAGTATTTAATTCGAAGCTTGAGCTAAGTAATAATTTAGTTATTATTTCACGTTTAAGTCGCAATAAGCGCACAGGAGTAAAATAAAAAATAAATTGATAACGAATAGCGAAAGGAGCAGTGCCAATAAATAAAACTTAAAATCGACGAAGTCAAAGCTGGTCAAAATAAACTAATTTGAAACTTTATGGTTCAGTCTCCGTTTACTATTTTCCAACAGAAGACGATGACGAGGATGGTCCTACGTTTAAGGATAAGGCTCTTGAGGCCATACTTAGAGGGATTGACATTTTTTGTGTGTGGGATTGTTGCTGGGTATGGTTGAAATTTCAAGAATGGGTGTCACTAATTGTTTTTGATCCGTTCGTTGAGCTTTTTATTACGTTGTGTATTGTTGTGAACACAATGTTTATGGCAATGGACCACCACGATATGAACAAGGAAATGGAGAAAATATTAAAAAGCGGCAATTATGTAAGTTTTTTTTATATGTAATTTATCATTTATTTATTTAATTTAAATATTTCAGTTCTTCACTGCGACTTTTGCCATCGAAGCCACAATGAAACTGATGGCCATGAGTCCGAAATATTACTTTCAGGAGGGCTGGAATATATTCGATTTCATTATTGTTGCACTTTCACTTCTTGAACTAGGTCTGGAAGGAGTTCAAGGCCTTTCCGTTTTGAGATCATTTCGATTGGTGAGTCTGCGCATTGATAAATATATCATCCGTTTAGCCAATAAAATACTTTATTGAGATTACTTCGGAATTAATACCTACTAAGTATGTACCTAGATATTGCATTTTTATCTTAGTGTTTGACACTGTGACATCTTCTATGAGTCTGAAAGAAACAAAGCAATAACGAGTTTTTAATTATCATATATATCCACATCATAATGTGCTCCCTAATTTGCAGTTGCGCGTTTTTAAATTAGCTAAATCGTGGCCAACGTTAAACTTGCTTATATCCATCATGGGCCGTACGGTTGGTGCCCTAGGCAACTTAACGTTCGTATTATGTATCATTATCTTCATATTCGCCGTAATGGGAATGCAATTATTTGGCAAAAACTATACAGGTATTAGGAGCGCGAATAATTTATCAGAAATTTTCTGAAAAAGTGAAAGCAACCGCAATAGTTTGAATTTTTAATTGCAGTTTTTATATTACAAATATTGCATTTAAAACACCTTTCTGCTACTTTTCTTTCATTATTTATGCATATGTACATACTCGTATTTACATTGTGTACATCAAATAAATATTTCTCAATCCACTTTTTACTTAATACAAAGTTAAAAGCAAATACGAAATAATCCATGAATTTAAGAATGTCCTCAGAAATAATGTATGAGCCAGAATTTTAACATTTAAGCATTAAGCACGTTTTTTTATTTGAGCTTAAATAAAAGATTTTTAATTTCAAACAAATTAATTGAAACAATGATGGCTGCAAAAGCCCTTAAATATGTACATACTATATATCACGCCCCAAGCAAGCAAAGCTATACAAAGCCAAAGTAAAAATACCGAAAGCTATTTAAAACTTATATGTTTACATATAAGTACATATGTACATTATATCAAGTATTTGCATAATTTAAAACTAATTTATTTAAACACTTGCTAATTTTAATAGATATCAGTAACTTAAGCATTTCTTAACTCTTTTCTTGACTATAATTCTGTAATATTTTTTCCTAATGCTTTGCCCGGCTTACTAACAAATTTCATGATAACCATTACCATGAAACCGCTGTGGAACATTTTGCCCCAACAATCGACAATAATTTACCAAATTGGATCATTCACAAACAATGTATAACAAAATTCGATTGTTTTTATTTGAAAAAAAAACCTCGTACAAAAAACTCCCGACCGGTACTAAACTGTATTGAATTTAATTGGATTTAATATTTTCGCAATGACAGCTTCGAGTTTTTAAACTTGCTAAATCGTGGCCAACTCTAAATTTACTAATTTCCATTATGGGTCGCACCATGGGTGCATTGGGTAATCTAACATTTGTCCTTTGCATTATCATATTCATCTTTGCTGTAATGGGAATGCAACTTTTCGGGAAGAACTATACGGGTAAGTAGTTTTAAATGAAGCAACAATTGCGCGTTTTAATGTTGTTTATGTATGTGTTATAATTTTGCATCCAGTGACCTTATTTCATTTTTACATTTATAAATAGTAGGTATGTATGTATGTACATGTGTACATGCAGTTAAAAACTATACTTCGAGCGCCTACCCCTGTAAAACTGCATATCCGAACGTTTTCGTAAAATTCAGATACAAATTTGTTGAATTTTTCTTAATTTGGTATAAAGCTTACAGCTTTGATTTATATGTTTTTTGTTAATGCATGGACATTATTTTTATAAAAAACAAAAACAGCGAAAAAGTTTTAACTTGAAAAACAATGTGAATATATATGAAGAAATCGGCATGTGAACACTTGGTTGAGTCACTGTATGTACATATGTAGACATACGTACTAATAATATATACCTACATATATAGTATATATAGGCACAACGATTACTTACACGTAAACATACAAATGTACTTATAATTGTTCTTACCTACTTACGTATGGACTTAAGTTTCTAATCTGTCGCGACTTCAAACCTGCAAAATACTTATAGTAAAGTAGTTAATTTTTCAAATTTGTTTTCACCTCAAATACTTTGGTTAAAGTTACTAGAGTTAAACGCTGATATGCGTATAACCCTGAAACATGTAATATATATTTGTACATTTATATTTACAAAATGGTTTTCTATGTATAAATCGTTTAAGAAGAGTTTCTTAAAAAATGGAGATCATTTCTTAAACGTAGCAAAACGAAATCTTAGATCTTTGTACTTAGTACTTAGTATAAAAACATTTTCATTGCGTCAAAAAGTCGTGAAGCACATTGCTATTTTCGTTAGACATCGTTTATGTTTTAAAAGGTATCCTGTAAGTACATATGTATGTATGTAAGTATAAGATCAAAACTAATTTTTTTATGCTCTAAATGTATGTACATACATAAGTGCCTATTATAGACCCGTAAGTACTTTCGCTATTTTATTTTTGTAGTTATATCGTGTATGCAATGTTTAAAGAAATTCTTAGTTTATCCACACTTTGTCACTTTTTATTACGCACTACTTGGATAGATTAACTGTTAATATCTTTTCGAATTTTAATTTGTCCTTTTGGCTATATGTGCTTTGTAATAGCTTTTTACATTCATACATATATGTATACTACAATAAAAAATTCATTTATTTTATAAAACTAAATGTTTGTCAAATATATAGACAATCAGGACAGATTTCCAGACGGTGATTTACCACGCTGGAACTTTACGGATTTCATGCATTCATTTATGATCGTTTTCCGGGTATTATGTGGTGAGTGGATTGAGTCCATGTGGGACTGCATGTATGTCGGCGACGTCTCCTGCATTCCGTTCTTTTTGGCTACGGTCGTGATTGGAAACTTGGTCGTACGTATTCAAAGAAACAATTTAATATTTTGTTCAAATAAATATATACATACATATATACATAGCTATATGTACTTTTATGACAATAACAAAAATTATTGAACGAAATATTTTTTAATTTAATTGACAGGTGCTTAATCTTTTCTTAGCCTTGCTTTTGTCTAATTTCGGTTCATCTAGTCTATCGGCCCCAACAGCCGACAATGACACTAATAAAATCATGGAAGCGTTTAACAGATTTTCGCGTTTTAAAGCATGGATAAAGCGTAATTTTGCCAATTGTTTCAATTATATTCGTAACAAATTGACAAATCAAATTAGTGATCAACCATCAGGTGAGAGGATCAACCAGATCAGTTGGATTTGGAGCGAAGGTTTTTATCCACTTGTTTTCTACTAATCTTAACTATATCCATATATTTGCATTCGTATAGCAATGAAAAAACAATTAGACCAAATAGCATAAATTTCATATCCGAATTAATATTTAAAACGTTATTAAAAGTCCAAAGTTGAAACTTTCGCAAAATATATTACAAAGTCCCATATGTATGTACTTATATGTATGTAAGACCATTTATCTAAAGCCCACGCCGTAATTTTCTTACAAAAAGCCAGTAGATGCAAATTCATTCCATAACGAGTAACCAAACTATTTTAAAACTAAAAATTAAATAAACAATTATATTATTAAAATACACTCAGACCAATGACACCTATGAAAATGCTAGTATTTATCAGCCGATTTTTCAGAGTTATAATGCCAAATATATGATGTCCACAGTAAACTTGGGCATTCTCCCAAGTCTGTGATTAGGACGAATGACTGCGGATTTTAACCTGATAGAAAACGTTCTCACCAGAAGCTTTTAAGAAATAAATAAACAATTAAAAGACTGAAACTAACTGAGAGTATTAAATGATAGCAGAATGAGAGCAAATGAATCTGGTACAGTCTTTGTATTTCTCGGAGATTGGGGGAATTTTTGGGTATATTTACCACAACGGAGCTTCACAACATTTTTAAAACAAATAAACAATACGCAAATTTTTGATATAGAAACTCCAGAAGTGTTATACATAGTTATTTGTCAAACAAAACTATAGTAAACATCTTTAAAGACAAGTTTTCATAAGTGGTTAATAAGAAAGAAAAATTTACTCTGCACCACTTAACGACTAAATTTTTTGTGGAGTAATTTCTTTCCATTTAGGTTATATACATTTTAAATATGAACCAAATCGAATCGTAATTACGGGTTTTTCAAATATCTCGACACCTGCTCCATCTAGCGGATCAATTTATCGGGCTCCGAGCTAAGTTTGAAGTTTCACGTCTCCAGCTCATCGCGAAGTTGGTTAAAACTTGATCAAGATCAAGAGCCAGATCAGATTACTCATTGCTGAAATATAATAAAAGCATTTAATGATCCATCCATTATATTCACAAAGGTTCATGAAAGATAGTGAACAAAATTGTTTATTTGCTGTATGTTTAGAAACCATGTGAGAAAACAATGGGAGTAACTATCTGAAACTAGCGGTAAGGCATTGGCAAAAGTGCTATGTCTATTTGTCTGAATGTACATACATATGTTACACATATACATATAATTGGTTTCTGTATTTAATCTGTATATTCCCTTTTCAAATATACATTCATTGTTTTCATTCAGGATCTTTTCCAAAAATTAAAAAAAAAACAATGAAATACTCGAAATTGCTTATAAAAAGAAAATAAAGCAAACATTCACATTGGAACAGTATTTTGTGTAAATGTAATTTTTGATTTGAATTTTCCATTGGTCTAGTGTGCAGAGCCTAATCCTCATATAAGTAAAACTTAGAAATGGTAGTTCACTTTTAAATATATACACTTCAGTGTGATTTACCTAAAATGTATTTTTTCGTTCATACATATGTATTTAGCTGTTTTTGAGTACTTCTGGTTAAGAGCGTTTGTGGTGAATTTTTTTTAAACATTCATTTCGTAATACCACACCTGATTATGCGCATTTTTTGCTTTCATTGAGATCCACCTCAATTAATTTATCCTGCCCGAATAACAACATATCATAGACAAATTGTATCGCCCTTTGTGTGATAAAAGGAACACCATTTTTCGTAAATTTAAAGTAAATGCAATGTCGCTAAAGTAATCATGTAATAATGTTTTAAGTTGGTCTGGATTTACATACTTGAACATTTCGAATTATTTTAGATAAATTAACAGAAAAACAGTGGATTTTACCCTTCTCATTATAAGTGTTCAGATTTTATTTTAGTATTTTATTAAACTTTTGAATTATTTAACCATTTAATCACATGTCTCGATACAGAATTTTACATAGATCAATAATAATTACATACATGCATACATACGTACATATTATGAATCTATATTCAACTGTTATAAATTACATTTATTTGCTTAACTTACTTGATTATTACTTTCTAACAAAAATTGCTTAGTTCTTATATAGTTCCTTCTCATTCGTGCTTACAAATACATATGCATACATGTTTGCAAGTTTAAGAGGGTTCTTTCGTTAATTAACTTGTTGTTTATCTCACTTCTACAAACTAGTTTAATCACATTTAATAAATCTCGCTACTAATTGGACAGACTTGGAATTTACAACCCCACAGTTGGTTGTTTTGAAATGGCTACAGTTGCCTACCATTTGGCCAAATTAGTTTTAAAAGCAAAGGAGAACAATTCGAAGCAAGCAGCATCTTAAGAGCCCTCTATGAACTAATCGTTTCATATTGCAATAGTTATCTGCAAGTTTTTCTTGTCAAATATCTTTTTTTTTTTTATTCACACATCGTTGATTATTTGGTGATTTGGTTATATGGTTAAAACAAACTTGAACATCCAGCTGCTCTGTATATTTGTTGCGGAATACAGCTGCAACTTTATACAAATTCGCATTAAAAAAGCAGATAATTATATAATCTGATAACAAGTTTCTATACGAGTTGTTCAAAGTTAGTATTTTTCAGTATTTGTATTTTGTACCTACATATAAATTTTATTGTTGAAAACTGGAAAATTTGTGACCATCTAGCCAGATATGCCGATGGTCAGAAAGGCGTAAATACACTGGTTATTTTTTGAACGTGTGATTTGATTTGTATTATTTTATTCAAAATTTATTGTAATCAAAATTAATGTCTCCACAAAATTTTCTTTTATTCCAAATATTTAAAAAAAAAATAACCATTAAAATCGTCTTTTGATGATATGAACGAAAATTAAAAATAATTGCCGTTAACTCGTTTCTTGATAATGAAACTGTTTCCAAATTGTGGCTTTTGATTATGCAACCTGTGATCATCGTCTTATCACCGATCGAATAATATTTAACTTATCAATCAATCTGCACAATTCCCATGTGTGTATGCTTTCGTTTGCAATCGGTAACTGCCATTCGACACTCGCTTCTCACAATCTCTATCGTCGATCGATCGTCAATCAACATTTGAGCATTCATACACAAATTTGTACTGAAATTGATTTACTTGATTTGAAACGAATAAATACTGTCAATTGATACGAAGGCAAAGGGGTTTGTCGTTGTATATCTACAGAGCATGGTGACAACGAGCTGGAACTAGGCCAAGATGACATTATTGCCGATGGCCTAATCAAAAAAGGGATCAAGGAGCAAAACCAGCTAGAGGTTGCAATTGGCGATGGCATGGAATTCACGATACATGGCGATATGAAGAACAACAAGCCGAAGAAACCGAAATATCTTAATAATGCAACGGTAATACTTTATTTGATAAAGTCGCGTACTATTTATTGTCTTTTGCATTAACTACGTAAATACATACGGTGGTAAATAGAATAAATAGTGAAGAGACATTTTAGCAAGTTTTAGCAACTTCTACTTACTCACTAAAAAAAAACCATGTTAATCAACATTTCAAACTTTGTAGAACATTAATAAACAAGTAATTTAAAAAACATTTTTTTAAAGACAAGCTTTTGTTAGTGTAGTAATAAAAAAATCGACCCCCGCACCACCTAACGGCTATACTTCTTGGGGAGTTATTTCTTTCCATTTAACAAATATTCGAAGCCGATAGCCCACAGTGGTTCGGATCGCAAATCTAGCTGGACGAAACAATTTAAACAAATATTCGTTGATGGATCTTTACACCACTTCTTACCTAGGGGATTTTTGGGTCACTGATTACGAATCTGAAGTCACTTATCAAAAATTCAAACTGGCGGATCCAATATGGCGGACGAAAATAAAAAAAAATCGGTAGATTTCTATGAAACTGGGTTATTTGGGGTTTTCTGGGTCGCTGATTACATATCTAAAGTCATTTACCAAAAATTCAAAATGGCGGATCCAATATGGCGGACGAAAATTAAAAAAAAATCGGTTGATTTCTATGTAACTGGGTATCTGGGGGTTTTCTGGGTTGCTGATTACGAATGTAAAGTCATTTACTTAATTTACTTCATTTACTTCGGAACGAACATTTTCATCAGATATTTCTTTCAATTTACTAATCACATAATCACGGACACCTTGTTGTCTTTTAGAAGTATCAGCAACACTTCTCCAAATGTCAAACAACTCACTTCTTAAGATTTTCTTTACCATGACTAAAATTTAAGATCACAGCAAGAAACACAAATAAATTTCAGAAAAAAATTTATAACAGCGCTTAAAGATTTGCATGCCTGTTGTTTTATTTTTTTAATTTCAGAGAGCAGAAAATTCGCGGGTTACTATTTTTTTTAACTCTTACATAACCAAAGTTTTTATAATCTCCAAGTATTTTTGTGTTTTAACACATAACCCTAATTATGCAAATATCTGTGAGTGCAATTAGCAATCTTTTAAGTTAAATTTCAGCTTTTAAAATAGAGTTCTCAAATAGGCGGCATTGACTTACCTTTTTTTGTTTGTTTTCATATGTTAATGCTTTAATAAATGCAATTTCTATTTGAATGAATTGTCAGGAATGTATTCCAAGTACCATTAAGTTTTTAAAAACAAAAAAATGTTTACTTTCGTCCAGCTAGATCTGCTATCCGAACCACTGTGCAGCCATGGCAGCTAGTGCTTCTTTTTACTTTGTTATAATTTTAATTGTAATACAGACTTACATAATAATATTAATAATAATATCTAATATACGTTCTAAATATGAACCAAATCGGACCATAAATACAGGTTTTCCAAACATCTCCTCCTCCTGCGCCAGCTATCGGTTAAATTGTTTGTGTATTTCTCTTCAAAAAGGTTGTGCTCTGAAATGCATCAAGCCAAAGCATCAGTCTCATTTATTTCTAAAGTATAATTCAAGGCTTTTATTCGTGAAAATCGAATGAAAATACTGCCAGAAAATTTCAAAATGCATCTTATGGTTCACTTATGTTACTGCAACTATAGAGATTAAAGTTGTGTGAGTAAAAAACTCGTGAGAAAAAAACTCAAAATACAAATTTTTCATATAATGAAACTAGTTAATAGCTTTTCTCTTTTTACTTGTAAAACAAACATTTCTAAAATTAATGTATTTTTGATCATTTTTCGGTTTTTGTAAGGCACTAATTATTTTGCGATTTCTATTGCCTTTTTATCGTATTTCTCTATTTTATTTTGCCTTTTTTTTATAGGTTTTAGGTCCTAAAAATCCGTTCCCTGATCATAGACATCTGAACTAAGTTTAAAAATTCCAGTCTACGGCTCGTCGGGAAGTTGGTTAAAAATTTATTGCAACATAATAAAAGCTTGTGAAATTCGACGAATTTTAACAAATATTCAACAAAAATTTGAAACTTTTTAATCAGATTTTTTTGGAGTACGTCCATTAAATTTTAATATAATAAAGTGCAAGCTTGAAGTAGCTTGCGCTTACCATGGCAATTTTTTGTTCAGGCATTTTCTTTCAAAGTATTTTCGATTTTTTTGTTTATGGAGAAATCAGCAACTTTGCTGTACTAAAATTATACCATCTTAGAAATATTCTGACTATACAGTTTTGTAGGCCATTCACAAAACTGCATAATGAGAATGTTTCTAAAAAATCTAATTAAAAAGCTTAAAATTTTTATGGAAGTGTGTCGAATTTTGATAATTTGTATCAAAGTTTGAAATTTTGACTTACATGGTTTTGATTAGATACACCTTCATAAAAAAATAATAAATATTAAATAAACGAAGTAGCCAAAGAATGCTAAAATGTCTCTTCTTTATTTACATTTATTTTCGCCACTCTACATTGTCTAGTAAAATTTCTATAAAAAGGTCAAAAATAATAGTTGCTTGTGATTTACTGAAGAAGAATGTGTAAATATTATGCCCTATTGATTTCTTTGAAGCGACTCCATAGTAGAGTACAAGGTAAACGCAGAAGTGCGACAATATGCATTTTTATGTACATACTTACATATATGTATGTACGTAGTATATGTACATATCGGACTATTAATAGATATATAAACCAGTTTGGTGAATATAAGTTTGCTCTCCTGCAGATGATTGGAAACTCAATTAACCACCAAGACAATAGACTGGAACATGAGCTAAACCATAGAGGTTTGTCCTTACAGGACGACGACACTGCCAGCATCAACTCATATGGTAGCCATAAAAATCGACCATTTAAAGACGAAAGCCACAAAGGGAGTGCAGAAACAATGGAGGGTGAGGAGAAACGTGATGCCAGTAAAGAAGACCTTGGTCTGGACGAAGAACTAGACGAGGACGGTGAATGTGAAGAAGGACCACTTGATGGAGACATTATAATACAAGCAAACGAAACCGATATTCTTGACGAATACCCGGCTGACTGCTGTCCGGACTCATATTATAAGAAGTTTCCAATATTAGCTGGTGACGAAGATTCGCCTTTTTGGCAAGGATGGGGCAATTTACGACTGAAAACTTTTCAATTAATTGAAAATAAATACTTTGAAACAGCTGTTATCACTATGATTTTAATGAGTAGCTTAGCTTTGGTAAGTTTCTGACGTTTTATGTAAACATACTTCTTATCGCTTTTTGTTATTGCGTAAATCAATAGCGCTCATACACAATTCATTTGAATCTCTTCTATGAATTTAAGACACACATTTGTAANAACTTTTCAATTAATTGAAAATAAATACTTTGAAACAGCTGTTATCACTATGATTTTAATGAGTAGCTTAGCTTTGGTAAGTTTCTGACGTTTTATGTAAACATACTTCTCATACACAATTTATTTGAATCTCTTCTATGAATTTAAGACACACATTTGTAAATACATACATATATTTATAACATGTAAGAGAAAAGTAATTGAAGCTATACAAACTTAGTTTGGTACACCATATTTTATGTTTTTAACCAAAGTATAATTATCCTTAGAACTGATATAATGAAAAATAGTGTATGCAAATTTATTATATAATCTTGTGTTACAAATTGTGTTACATAACAAACACTATATACATAATTTAATAACAATTTATTTTATATATTCAATTTCTTCTGTCCTCGGCTATTCACACAATATCAATTTGTACAGGCCTTAGAAGATGTCCACCTCCCGCAAAGACCAATACTGCAGGATATCCTTTATTATATGGACAGAATTTTTACAGTTATATTTTTCTTAGAAATGTTAATCAAATGGTTGGCCCTCGGCTTCAAGGTTTACTTCACGAACGCGTGGTGCTGGCTTGATTTCGTCATCGTAATGGTAAGTAAGGCCGTTTTCCAAAACTTTTGTGCAAAAAATGCAAACTATTTGTTTTCAAATATCCAATCCTTTTACAAAAACAAAAGAGTAACACAGAAAAACGATGATCTGTGTGACAAATACATATACTGATTTTTAATCGATAAACAGAATAACTCTTACAAAGACTATATTCACCAAAGACGTACAAATAAACACTTCGGACAGGAGAATAATATAATNTTCAAATATCCAATCCTTTTACAAAAACAAAAGAGTAACACAGAAAAACGTTGATCTGTGTGACAAATACATATACTGATTTTTAATCGATAAACAGAATAACTCTTACAAAGACTATTTTCACCAAAGACGTACAATAAACAAATAAACATTTTGGACAGGAAAATAATATAAAAAACCAAACACATACTTCAATACAATTAGTTTTAACGTTGATTGACTTTTAATTATTTATTTCAAATATTTTTTATATTAGTTGTGCTTTTAGAAGTATGTTTTTTTTAAATCTTATATCACTATTTTTATTTGTTGAAATTTGTTAACTATTTAACGAAAGTAATTAAGATTTAGAATTTTGGTTAAAATCCTAAACCTGCTACTTACATACTTATATATGTATAGATATGTATTTTAGGCTAAGAATTTGTACATAAATAACAGAGTAGGCAAATTTCATCATACAACCAAATGATAAGAGCTAAGTATTATATGTATGTATGTGATTCTTCCTTCACTCCCATTCGCCTTGCTAAACGCACGGTATATTAGCTTTCACTCATCAATTTGGCCGCGGTTTGGTCCGGAGCAGATGATGTGCCGGCATTCCGCTCTATGCGTACGTTGCGTGCTCTTCGGCCGTTGCGTGCGGTATCCCGATGGGAGGGTATGAAAGTAAGTAACTGCTGTATTTGCATTTAAAACAATGCTTTCATAGTACAAGTTTGTACGCCTAATTGGCTGTTGTTGTGCTGCAACAATTTCTTCTTCGTGTCAACTCCTAACTTAAACTAACTTACTTGCTATTCTACATATCTTAAGTATGTATTTGTATTGTTATGTAATTTAAAACAAGGACGATAATATATGTATAACAAGACCGACAATGTACCTACCTACCTATTTAAAAAGAGCGACAAATTCGGGTGCTATTTTTCATAAATAAGTACTCACTGACATTTCAACTCCCTTCAGCTATTATTCGAATGTTATGATCGGTGGTACATATGTACATATACTTGTTTAGACTAAATTAAAATTAAAATTAAATTTAATGTAATACGTTTTAAATTTTAAATTTAAATCTGAAATTAACGAAAAGTTGTAATAATAGCCTAAAATTTAGAGTTTACACTCACATTTGTATATACATGTAGTTACTTGCATTAGCAAAATACGATCCAACAATATTTAATGTACACATTTTTTTTCTAATTCCCTGGTTATAAAAGAATGTCTGTGTAGTGTCGATATGTATGATAGGTCAAAAAAAAGTAAAGTCGGAATTTTATATTTTTAATTTCGAAATCAACAAGTTTTCCATGTATTTTATATGGAAAAAACCTTTTCGTAGAAATGGTATAAAATTCTTGAAAGTCAATATTTTTCGATTGAAAAACTCTGGTTCTCTTCAGCAGACTTCAAATAACAATACCCCATTGTTTATTTAACCATTTTTTAGTACTAAAGATATTTTATTGGTCCCTTGATTGCATTTTCTGGGGTTTTTGGCGGACCTATAAAACATGCACTGCTGTGGTGTAGTGGTAAGCAGTGCGCGCCTCCACTCCTCAGGGTCTGCTTTCAAGCCTTGGTCAAAGAAACATCGAAAAAAAAGTGGAAAACTCGTTTTTTTCTTAACAGTGGTCGTCCCTCGGTAGGCAGTGAGTGGCGAACCTCCGAGTGTATTTCTGCCATGAAAAAAGGCTTCTCATAAGCACAATCGCCGTTCGGAGTCGGTATAAAACTGTAGGTCCCTCCCCCTTTGTCTGACGACATCAAGGCGCACGCCACAAATCGAGGAGAAGCTCGGCCCAACACTAACATATGTATAAGCGCCAATCTATTACTATTATAGTTAATATGAAAAAGTGGTTAAATAAACATTTGGTTATTATTATTATTGGGAATCTGTTGAAGAGAAACTGAGTTTTGCGATCGAAAAATATTGATTTTCAAGAATTCTATAAAATTTCTACGAAAAGTTGTTTTTTTCCCCATATCAAATACATACATGGAAAACTTTGAGCAATTAGAGCGACCTCTAAATAATATTTGATTTCAAAATGAAAAATAGGGGTCTATTTTTTTCGGTATAGAACTATAGGGTGAGAGATTGTTATGCCGACTTCTTTTTCACATGCATTTTTGGACCACCCAAAATGTAGGTATAAATATACGTGTACCTACACTAAAAATGTTTGTATTTACTATATGTATATGTTGAATTTGCTCTTTAATTCACAAATTTTTAGCATATTAATGTGTGCAACAAAATATAGCTTGCTAGACTAGACTCTAGGGTGTGAATTTGGCAAGAACTTGCATTTTGTATATACAAGTAATTACTATATTTTTTTCAAAGAATAAGCTTCTTAATAATATATTCAAGTCGACTTCTTTCTTAACGAATTGACTAATATACATACTATTATACATACATACTAACTTTATTGTACTTGTAAATGCTCTGTGTCACTATCACGTCAATTGTATATGGGCTTTTGTTGTATTTGTATGTGTTAAATATACGGTCAGAGTCGAAAACTGTCTTTCTCATCACATAGTGTTTTCTCAAGCCATAATTTATTTATTTTATTTACTTAGTATTCTACTTGATTTGTCTACTTCACATTTTGAGTAACCTTTTCTTTGTTTAATGTGGTTACATATTTAACTTTAGGCGTGGAATTTAAAATAAGTACATATGTATTTAAACCATTGGTCACTAATTCTTTGTTATTTTATTTTTAGTGCAGTAGTTAATATCAAATGCTAGTATAATATTACAACTAATATTAAGTTTAGAAAATCATATCCCAACACATGGCTGGATGCGATCTGCCTTCAATCATAAATAATTTCCTAATACTAGTGCGATCCTCTGCTACTTGAAAAAGCTTTAGAAACTTAGATCGCTATCTCCTTTTGCTAACAATTATTAAGGGTTGTTCCGGCACTGTTAAATAGAATAGCTGCCTTAGAGCATATTTCCATGCAATAGATAGATTTAACATAATAGCTTTATAAATTAGTACAATAGTTTTAGGAGATGCCTTAGTGTTCATATTTTTTTCGTACTATTATATACATATGTAAAGCTAAAATAACGTTTGTCATAAAATATATAGTTGTCTAATATTTAGATGATAGCGATTAGTTGTAAACATTTAGTTGTAATCAAAATATGCTGGATAATTAAAAAAAAAAATTATATTTCTAGAGCTCATATTCCGAAATAATTACTAAATGTCCTGCGTGTTAGAATATCCTGCGTATATAATTATGATTCCGCATTGTCAAATTTACATCCCACATCTACTTCGAATAGAAAACTTTGTAAAATTCACGAATATTTTCATTTCTCACTGTTCTGCCTAAATAATTTAGACTCGGCTGCTGTGCCGTTAAGGCAGATGTTATAAAATTTATTTCGGCTGATGTACATAAATGTTTTTGAATCATGTACTCTTACCTTCTCATTGCACATGATTTTGCTCCAACTGCAATATTCATGTGTTATCTTCTTCACTACAAAGCCGATACAATACAAGAATGCGAAATTTCAAACATACATTTGTATACGTAAGTATCAGTACCAGTATATAGTTTTTAATTTCGAGTTTAATCGAATTAAATATATCCGTACGTAAATAGTAGATAACACTGTAAATACTTCCCAGAAGCATTAAAACTTCTTTGCCTTCGCAGTGGTGGCAGTGTTTTACTTAAAAGAATATCTTTCCTAAGCTCGAAATTATTAACTCTCAGAATCGCTTGGTCTTGGGCAAGATGTCTCCCGTTGAAGACTATAACAATTCTTATTATAGTGTTATTTTCAACATATTATAGTGCCAATCACTTCTCCATTGAGTCTGGCAGCAAAGTTAGAGCATAATTTGTCAAAATTCAGACAAGCCAGCCTAGTCTCCCATACCGCTGTGGTCATTGCTCCACAATAGACAAATACCATTCAATGACATATGTACATACGTACCTTGCCAAATACATACATTGATATGTCTTCTCACTATTAAAAACAACAAGACTATAATAGTTTTCCTCTGCACCTACTTTACTAAGAATAACTTAGGTCCAATATTTGCCCCGTAATATTTTGTAAATAATTCGTAAAATGCCAATTCAGTCAGTATCTTCAGTCCTGCTTCACATATCATCACCTGATTAAAATTTTACACTTGTGTTTGACTATTGTGGAGTCTACCAGCAATCTACGAACAAAATATTCAAAATGAGAAAACTCCGTAAACTAAATTCGATTTAAATATGGAAAGAATTAGACAATTATGTATGTGTAAGTGAAGAATTTTCGCATAAGTGCATTCATATGTACATATGTTTAAAAATGACAGGTTGAACACAAAGGCATCAGTATACATACATACATATATGTAAGTGCTGCAGAGCTTAATCTGCTTGGCGCCTATGAGCTGCTAGGTTAAGAATTTATATTAGTGTTGGGTAGTATCGATATCAAAAGCACTCGGAACTCGTTTCTCAAAACGATCGACAGCACCCGATTTTTGAAAATATCCATACTGAGTACTCCAAAGTACTCAGAAATTAAAAGAACTCGAAAGTAATCAGCACTCACAAAAGAACTCCAAAGTACACAGTACTCAAAAATACTCTGTTCCAATCATCACTTTGATACATGTACTCAGAATCCATTAAAAGTACTTAAGTTTCGAATAGATACTTAAAAGTACTGAGTTTTATTTACATTTACCAGTATTCAGATAGGACTGTACTCAATTTGAAGTTTCAACAGTTTTCAAGTACAATACTTGTACCCAGTAAAGTTAGCCATTCATTACGTAATTTGGGATTAATATATTAAATAATAAAGTGCTGCCAGCTTGTAAAATTTCTACACTAAGCATTTAAATGTTACTACAAGTGTATATGTAAAGAAAGTACTCAGTACTCTTACCCGATCCTTAAAAGTATCGATACCAAAGAACTCGATCCTCAAAAGTACTCGGTACTTCCCAACACCAATTTATATTATACATGTATTATTATAAGTATGTATAAGTATTTATATAGGCATTTATTTGTTTTTAACATAATTTTTTAGTTGTTCGTTTGACTATATTTAAGAAAAAGTATTTATTTAAGAATATAAAACTGTTTTGAGCATAACCAAGATGTGATACAACTTGTTAAATTTCTTTCAAAAGGAATTTAACACTCAGGCATATATAACTAGTAAATTTTTAAACCTATTTTAAAAAGCTTTGACTTAATTTTATTTTTCTCTTTGTTTTTTGCTACTCCCTTAAGTTTTTTTATGTTACTTTACTTACTTTTGTTTAAGCTGTCTTATACAATAATAACTTTTGAGATTCAGTTGACATTTGAAACGACAGTTTGGATTACACTAAATTTAAACACGAAGTCATCAAGAAAAACAGTCTATTGCCAATTTATATGAAAATCACAATGTCACAAGCCACAGAATCTATTGCCGAAATAAATATATGTAATCCTTTAAAACACATACAAATTTCGTTCCTCGAAATGAAAAGAAGCTTTGCTTATAATGACTTTTAAAAAAACCGGTACTAGGTGTCGCTTATCAACTTCGTTGCTTCACTTGCTGGAGCTGGTGGTATTCAAGCCTTCAAGACTATGCGAACGTTAAGAGCACT